AGCAAATTGTTGTCTTAGCCACCAACAACATTTGTAGTATAAGCTCAAACATTTTGACTTTTTTCTCCCCTCTTCCTCTTCAGAAAACTGTTTCTTGGGTAGATATGATACGCTATGCTGCTAGGTTAAGTTACCTAGATGTTGGTTAGCCCATCAATCCCAAGGATGCATTTATACCTCTCTTTATACCTCTTTTCATTATGGACTCACTCACATGTAGTTATAGACTGCTTACTCACCAATTGAATGGTCTAAGACTGGAATCCTGAGTCTTGAGAGTAGATATGAGAAGACTTAGAAGGTCTTTCTCCTGCTGCCCCATATACCTCTTGGTTTAACAGATTTCAAGTGAACTTTGGGTGGTAATTTATGAGCATCAGGTTCCCTCCTCTCTGCTTTTAAAATGATCAGCTGTTCTGTGAAAGACAATGTATTGCCAAATATTGTTACAAATGAGTATATAATAATTATAAAATTATTTAATTTTATGAAAAAAGAAAGAAGTGGGATATAAGAACATTGAACAGCCTATAAGAGGAATAGAGAAGGGATTGAAAAGGAGGAGAGGAAATTGAGAGGCACTGTGGTCTCTGGAACCTTTGCTCAGGATTGGCCCTAGAATGTGGCTGCTGAGCAGAAGACCCTATGGTCTTCACTTGAACCATTACCATCTCCGAGAGTAAGCATAGTGGTTGAAGGATTCCATCTAGACAGACTTGCAGTTCCCTGGGCTTCTATATAACTTTCCTGGGCTTTATGTTCTTTCAAAATACTAAAAGCCATTTCCTGATAGATAGCTAGAGCAGTGATACAAGTTGGGTACTCCTTCCTTTCACTGGACAAGAGAAACTTTGGTAGGAAAATAGATCATCTATAACTTTTTTTTAAAAAGGTTTATTTATTTATTCATTTGAGAGCATGAGCAGGGGGAGGGGCAGAGCAAGAGGAAGAGGGGAAGCCGACTCTGAGCTGAGCATGGAACATGTTGCAGGGATCGATCTCATGAGACTGAGATCATGACCTCAGCTGAAACCAAGAGCTGGTCACTCAACCCAGTGCCCTGGTCATCTGTAACTTTTAACTATTGGCTGAGAGTTAAATAGTAAATATAAGATCTGATAAATTTAAATTTAGAGACTAAAATTAATGGTTATGTTTGTATGTTAAGAACCATCATATTTGATTCTTTGATAAGCAAATTAGAAATCTCTAAACATATCCACCCATTTTAGAGAGTTTTAAGTAAATATGTATTAGTAATGACATTTTGGTACTTAAATTTCATGATATGAAACCATTAATTTTTTTAACCATGGAAGAGAGATTATGTTAACTAAATAAACAGGTATAGAATTTGCATCTGGTAACTTTAGATGTTTAAGAATAAAATGCAATTAGTACAGTTTTAAATTTGACCAATTATATTCCGTAGAACATCTGCATATCTCCAGGGGACATGGACACTAGATTACTAGAATTTTGTTTTTGATTAGGCATTTCTGACTGGCCATGTGCACATTTTCTGTTTTTGGTTATAAAACGTAAGTCTTTAGATTTGAAGACATAGTGATTTTTTGTAACTGGATGTAATTATTCTCAAGCTTTGAATCAACTTCTTAGCAATGTTTTACAGATTACTTTACAATATTTATTTTGTTTTACAGATTACTTTAAAGAAGCTATATATAAGAGGCTTAATCATATAAAAGATTCTAAACTCAATCATTTTTCTTTTTGACTTAGTTGAGATTATTTCTACTTGATCTGTATTTTCTACTTTCTAAAGCTAAAACCTTCATTTTCCTTAGTCCCAGAGTATGTGTTTCAAAAATCCATCCTAAATTAGGTGCATTGGTTTAGAGTTATCCTGTTGCTACTGATTTAAAAAGAAAAAAAAACAAAAACAAAAAACTGTGAACCTGCCAAGTGTGGGGGTAAAAGTTGGAAGGGGATTTTTATGCTGCTAGAGGAAGATAGATCAGCATTGTTAGAAGATTTGGAATAGATTCCTGGTATAGTCAGTTCTTGAGTGTGAAATACCACAATGTCTAATAGAACATTTTAGAAGAAAATTAATACAAGATGAATGCAAGGAAGAATGCATCTTCATGAAATATAGAGTAATTTCAGCTGTTTATTCAAGGACTTTAATTTTTACTTCATAAAAATTAGTGTTCTGAATTTTTATGAAACTGAAGTGAACCCCCAAAATGCCCAAATTCCTAGTTTTTAAGAAGTCTGGAAGGCATGACCAAAGTTAAGTCAATTTATAATTCTTAGCATTTAGTATCTCTTAACCACAGTTCCTTTTAGTGACTATTCTCTGTTGAATGAGTGAATGAATGAATGAATGAATGACTTGTCAACCACATTTCAGTGGCATGTTCAGTTTGTGTACTATGTAATTTTAAACTAATTATTGGATCCCACTAAAAAGCAAAATAGCCCTAAAAATAAAGATCCAGAACAAGGATATGAAATTATAGAAATTTTTTATTTTGTTCCTTTTGTGATTTTATTTACTTCCCAATTTTTCAACAATAAATGTTACGTAGTTAAGTTTTTCAAGATACATATGTGGTTGGAATTTATCTTAGGATCAGATATAAATCTCACCTCTAATAACTAATATTTCACCTGTGATTCAAATTACAGAGGCCTTGCTTTTACATTAAAGGCTACTTTTAAAAACTAATGTATTATAACCAAATGACATTTCGAGGGCTAATTTAAAAGAAGTAGAATTTTATCTTAACCTGTAGAAACTGAACTGATGTTCCTGACACTGATGCAAAGCAACATCAGTTTCATTTTGTAGTGTTGAAAATGTTTATTCTTTCCTGAAAAACAACCAAGTATTGAATTGAATGACAACTTTCTTATTGCAAATGTAATCAGATTTTTTATTATTAAATATAATTATCACAGATGGGTAAACTTATATAAGTCCTCTGTGTAAGTGGATGGTTTGAGTCCCCCTCTCCAAGTATAATCGTATTTGAATGGCTTTAAAAAAAAATGATCATCCAAACGTACAAAAATAATCCCCTACTCTCCCTAGTAGGAACAACATGTTGAACTAGGTGGATGAATATTCTGAGTCACTGTGGCAATTGGTAGTTGAATCCTATGACTAATGTTGAGATTTTTGTCTAGGTGGGTCACATGAACTTAGTTATCTGCCCACTGGAAAGACACAATGGGGAGATATTATCTGATGAATACTGTGGAACATGTGTGAATGGATTACAGTGATGCCTGATGTGAATCATTCTTCCCACAAAAATGTAAAGTTTAATAGTTTAAAAATTCCAAACTGTTGTCACATAAACTGAGATTTGGCCTATTCTAGGGGTTAGGACGGAATGAATACAACACATATTCTAAGTTATTTTGCCAGTAAGTTGTTGGCTATATTTTAGACCCCTAAATTTAGGAAAACCTAAAAATTTATTCAAAGAGATTAGTAAAAGTCTTGGGTCACTACAAATAGTAAAATATACCTTCTTCTACTACTCTCCACCACCACAGAGGCTCCAGGACTTAATAATTTTCCTAATCAGAGTCATAGATTTCTCTATCTTGCTTAGTTAAAAGTATGTGTAGCCTGATGTCTGAGGCACCCCACCTGCAGAATATTCAAGACTCTTAAAGGACGTTGGGGGAAGCATTGATATATGTCTTTTAAGGTGATATTTCCTTCACTGAATGATCCTATTGTACATTGATTTCCCTAATTTGAGATTAAAGTCTTTAGGGTATTATTAAAAGCAGATGAAAAAAAAAAAAAAAAAGCAAAACTGTGGGTTTGTATGGGGCTAGCTAGGTGTGAAGCTGTGGTTTCCTGGATACCGCTAATGCTGTTTTTATAACTCTTTCTGGCTAATTTCACTTACCTGGTTATAGAGATAAGAGGGGGATTAAGGGGGTAGTTTATGCTTTTATTTCCAATTCCAGGAGTAACCTGTTACCTCTATATGATCTGAAACATATATCATTGTTTTTAGTTTTACTTTTTCTCTGATATCTTGGTATACCTAGCTTTGCTTCTTTAGATTCCTTGACACTAAAGTAAAAATGAGCTTGCTTAAGTTCTATTCACTCAGGGATGTTTACAAATAACAGTGTGTTTGTGTGCATCTTTGAATTTTGTGAAATGTGAATAAGTTGTGGTGGATATCTTTGCCAATAAATAATAAACATATAGAATTTTACAATTCTTTTACAAACATATAGAATTTTACAAATTTTATAATGAGAATATTTTTAGCTGTGGCAAACAGTTCACATAGACTAATTTTTAAGACTGAGATAATAATCTTCTGAGTTATTATTTCAAGGAATATATATATAGCTGTTTGACAGTGGTATAATCAACAGAGGGCCAACTCTGTTAAAACAAACAGACTAATGCAGTCTAAAAGAGGCCTACGGCAATCTTTAAATTCTAGACTTTGTGGGCTTTTAGAAAAATAAATCTGTAAGTGGAAGAAAAAGAATGAAATGTGTGAATGTAGTGTGTTCCTGACAAAGACTAAATTGATGGGATTTGTCCTACAAAATACCAAAAAGTAAATTTGTCCCTATTGTCTTATTTTTAAATAGATAACAATCATTGTTTTGCATTGAAATGTATATTCATACATTTTATCTGATGACCTTCTGGGAAAATAAAGTTTGGTTTTTTGTTTTTTGTTTTTGTTTTTGTTTTTTTAAGGTAAGCACGAAGAAGAATACACAATGGGAATACAATGGGAATACTAATTGATTAAAATTACCTGAAAACAGTTATGTTTCTAAATATGAGAACAATAATTTTGCCTAAAATTGAAGTATAACGACCAGGCCTTCTCTCCTTTTTAGAGAAGCAGTCAAGTGTTTCTGGAACAGATAAGACAGCAGCGATCCAGTGAGGTTGATTCCCCAGAAGAAAGCTATGCATACCTAATTTATTGGAAAGTAAACTACTCTTCAATTAATGATGTCCTCTTTTTCTCAAGGTGTCCAAAGACAGGAGGTGGTCTGTAAAAGATTGGATGACAACTCTATTGTCCAGAACAATTACTGTGACCCAGACAGTAAGCCACCTGAAAATCAAAGAGCCTGCAACACTGAGCCCTGCCCACCTGAGTAAGTAAGAGTGTGAAGTTATAATTATTTTAAGTACAAAGAGAAGAATGCTTAGCTATTCATATTTGGAAACATATTCATATGTTAGAAAAGGGGATAAAGCATTTCGGAGGGTAAAGATTCCTATTTATCCATAGATTTCAGTTATTAACCCTTTTAAAACAGGAACATCCGTAGATTGATCCTGGCACAGTGCTGGAAATTACCAGATTTCATCAGTTCTAAGGCGTACCTTTTCACATTTTAACATCTTGGAGATTGAAATTCATCTTGCCATTGATAGTGTGTTACTTACGATAATAATCAGTATTGTTTTAATTTTTTTTAACAGTCTATAAAATAATGGTATCTTTTTTTTTTAATTATGGTACCTTAAATTCAATAAAACACAGTAGATTGGTATGCAGTCATATCTTTTCCAGATATTTATCCTAAAGGCCTAGAGACTCTTAAAATGTTTGGTAAACATTTTATAATGGAATATCAATGCTTTAATTTGTTGACCCAGTTTTAAGTTGTGTCATCCTAAATCATCCTATCTTCTGCATGTTGGGCACAGGCACGGAGGTGGACTTCAGACTCATTCTGTTGATTAATGTAGCAGTTACAGCTCTGTAAAGGGAGGTATAAGCTAACAGCCCATTCGTGTTAATGATGACTTTTTTAAAAATTTAAATTTAACACTGTGGACTTGCTGTCGGTGAGTCCCAATTTATAATCTGTAAGAACAGTAAAGTTTCTGGGCTGAGCAAAGGCATAATTAGAGACCCCTGCTTGACTCAGTTGGTAGAGCATGCAGCTCTTGATCTCAGGGTCATGAGTTCAAGCCCCATGTTGGGAATATAGATTACTTTTAAAAAATTAAAAAGAAAAAAGGCAGTGACTACATGAGAAAAGACAAAAATGCTGAAGACAAAGATACTGAGTTGGTCATGATCTCTATAGGGCTTTTGCCTGTTTGACAACTGTAAGACAGAACATGTGCAAATGGCATTTCATCCTTGTTTGAGAAATCAGGGTAAACTTTATCTCCTTGGTTAACTATCCAAACTTGAAATTAATAGGGAAAAGTATGCAAATGAATTTATATATCTCAAGCTCTGTAGAACTGAAGAGAAAAGCTCTATATGCAGTAACGACAGAGAAGTCACAGTAAAGGATTCAGGTCCCTAATGTGTTTAAAGCAAGATATGTTCCTTATCTTTGTTTCAATACAATAATGCCTTATGAACTTTCATTTCCCAAAGTCAGTGTCTGTCCAAATATTTGAATCTCAAAGGGAGATATTACTGCTAGTGTCTTGAAACAGTTTAGGGCAGTGACTACCAAACAAAGAGCACAAAGAATCTAGAGTGAAAGTAGTTTTTATTCTAGGACTTTATTTATTTTTTAAGATGTTATTTATTTATTTGAGAGAGAGAATGTGTGTGTGGGCAAGAGAGACAGAGAGCTAGAGAGCACAAGCACAAGCAGGGCGGAAGGGCAGAGAGAGGGGAGACTGGATCCCAGAACCCTGGGATCTTGACCTGAGCTGAAGACAGGCGCTTAATTGACTGAGGCACCCAGGTACCCTATTCTAGGACTTCTAAAATTTCATGTTTCTTTTTTTCAAAATATGATCACAGTATAACTAATTTGTTAAAATCCAGACCCAGGAAAGTATAGAAATATGACCTATAATATGTATTACAAAGACATTTGATTTTTTTTTTAATTTTTAAAATTTTTTTAAAATTTGATTTTTAAAAAATTTTTAAACATTTTTCTCCTTTCTGCCAATTATTTTTATAAATTTAACTCGAAAGAAATGGGAAGACTATATAAACTCATGCATAGAAACCAGGGCCAAAATTTTGTTCCTTCCCATGTTTCCAACAACTTTCAACATTACTTTCATATAGTTGTACATCTCGACTCATCAAGTTAATTTCCTGACACTCAGGATTTTAAGTATTGTGTTTGGTATTTGATCAGCCATTTAAGACCTCTGAGTGGTCCTGGTCACACCTGTTTTATTTTGGCTTCAACTTTTTTACTTGTTTCAGCTGAAATGCTATTCAAAAATCCTTTGAGATTTCAGCGGTTTATCATTCTGTCCCACATGTTGTAGGCTTAGATATTACATTGGAATTGTTTTGTAAATATATATGTGTATGTATATGTATACCTATGTGTATACTATATATATATACTATATATATGTGTCTCTCTATATATATATTTTAAGGGTAATTGACATTTGAATTAATGTACATAATTAAAATCAAGTTTTCTATCTCCTTTCCTTTTGTAATTCTAAAATAAAAAGTTATTAACTTTTTTTAGTTTGGAGGTAAGAAGATGGAATTTGAAAAAGAGAAATAAGAATATGAAAAAGAAAATTTGGGCTGACTTTTTCAGAAAGAGCTAAAGATAGGTATCTAAAATATTACTATTTATTAGTCCATTTTTTCTTAGTTCCTTTTAAATTTCTTTTTATTCCTTTGAATTCAGACTATGAAAAAGAAAATCTCAATTCTTTAGAATGGTGGTTGTACATCATAGAATTCCCAGTAGACATTGATATTCTAGAGGTGAAAATCATTGAAAGACTACTGAATTCAATAATACTTTAAATTAGTGTAGAAGAAAGGAAAGGAGATTTTTTTTTTTAGGTGATGATGTGATAATCATATTTGGTTTTGTAATACATATTAAAGCATAAAGTTTTTAAAACACAGATAAGAAGGGGCACCTGGGTGGCTCAGTGGGTTAAAGCCTCTGCCTCCAGCTCAGGTCATGATCTCAGGGTCCTGGGATCGAGCCCCACATTGGGCTCTCTGCTCAGTAGAGAGCCTGCTTCCTCCTCCATCTCTCTCTGCCTGCCTCTCTGCCTACTTGTGATCTCTGTCAAATAAATAAATAAAATCTTTAAAAACATAAAAATAAATAAAAAACAGATGAGTAAAAATAAGAAAATGAAAAATACCTGTAATACTTAAAATACCACTGTTAATATTTTGAAGTATTATCTCATCTTTTTTCTATGCTTGCATAGACATGTATATAAAACAAAATAATATTGTATTATTTCTGATGCTCTGTAGTTAGTTCTCAACATATTTTGAACATTAAATACCTTCTACAGAATTTAGTAGATATGTCATTGTTTAATTTGTTTTCTACTGCTGAACAATTGTGGCTGTGTCTTAGCTTTTGATTCCTTAAGATACCACAGCATTAACAATTTTTGCTATTAAAACTTTGCTCTCTATAACTATGCTCTTACGGTAAATAAATGGGAATAGAATTCCTTATTCAAGTGGAAATATATTTAAGTCTGTAAAACATTGTCAGATTGTTCTCCAGAGATAATGTATGAGTGTATATTCCTACTAACAGCATATTAGAATGTAATTTCCCTGAACTGCACAACACTGGATATTATTATTATTATTATTTTATTTCACTTAATTTCATTATTAGAGGCTGAGTGAGCAGGGTAGGGAGAAGGGGCAGAAGGAGAGGGAAAGAAAGAGATTCTTAAGCAGGCTCCATGCACAGTGGGAGCCCAAAGCAGGGCCTGATCTCACAATCCTGAGATCATGACTTGAGCTGAAATCAAGAGTCAAACACTTAACTGACTGATCCAACCAGGCATCCCTGGATATTATTATATTAGAAACAATCTTTGATTATCTTATGGGGGGGAAAAAGCCTTGATACCTAATTGTTGTGTTATGTTATACTTCTTGGATTGCAGATGAGACTGAACATTGAAAAACTATGTCCAGTGGCCATTCGTATTACTTCTTTTTGATTTTCCCTTCCATGGCCTAACCTATACCATTTTTCTACTGAAGTGTTTATCATTTTGTTGCTGATTCCTATGAACTCTTAATGTATTAAGGGTATTAATTCTTTTACCTCCATTTCAAATATTTTTCCTTGTTTGTCGTGTATTTTCCATATTATTTATGGTGTTATGATCTATTTTTACTCACAGAAGTCTTAAAATATTACATAGAAAATCTATCACACTTTTATTTCTTTCTTAGGTATAATGTTTAGGAAGGCTTTATCCACTCTAAGATTGTACTTTCGAAGTTTCCTTCAAAGTTTTTCTTCTTTTTATAATGTAAACTTTAATCTTCTTGAAATATATTTGCCTACTTTGAGGAAAGGGTCTATATTTATTTCCAAATTCCCAGTTCCATTATTAAAATTCCAAATGATATTTTTAAAATCAGAAATTATCTTTTTAAATAATGAAATACTTCAAATGTCTCTTAGTCATATTGGAGACTTTATAAGGAGGGTGTGGAAAAATAGAAGGTAGTAAGATTTATCTTTGTGCTTTATAAAGAAAATGACAGGACTAGGAAAAATAGATGAGAGAGGCATTGGTAGAGAAATACTAATTGTGTTTATTTGGAAGACCTTGAAGGGCAGAGGAAGCTTTGCCATGAAAAAATTAATGTGCTCATAGCAGCAGCTCTTTTGTGAGAAACAGTGTAGTAGTCAAGAGGGTAAGGTGAATAGGGACAGGAAAAAAAAAAAACAAGAATTCCAGAGGCATTCAGTGAAAATGGTGGGATTCCTAACAAAGGCTCAAATAATTGGAAAAAGGAAAAGGGAGGGGTTGATATTAAAGACCATGACTGATAGCAAGCTAGTGCCCCACCATGAGAAAAGGAAGTAATGCTGAGCTGGAATCCAAAGAGAATGACCAAGAGCTCAGTTTTGACCATGCTATCTTTCTATGGCAAGAATGTTTCTATATATGGCCTCATGTGAAGAATTCTTGAACAGTGAATATTATTCCTGTATGATACTGTGGTTTTTAAAGTTGTAAAAATAAGAGGGGCGAAAACAATAGAGTATTATACATTGTGATAATACAGTGACCACAAACTAAGAAACATTTTTTTAAGTAACTGCAATGTGAAAGGCACTGTGCTTTGGGAGAAATGGCTGCCTTGCCTAAAGACAATGTAATTGGGTAAATACCTATAAAAGTAACTATAGTTTAGGCAAAATATGTTAAGCACAATAAGAGAGTTATAAACAAAAGTGCTAAAGGATGCTTGGGCTGGGGAGAAATTTTTACTTGGGTGTTAGGTTAGGTTTTATTTAATGGTATCTTTTAGGATATAATGTTTAACAATTATATTGAGTCATTGTACCTCACCCAAGGACAAACATAATATGTTATTTTAACTTTAGAGGAAGTTTCATCATCAAAATTTAAGAGCTGCGGACAATCATAGAAATCATGTAGGCCAACTCCCATCGTGATGAGAGTATGTTAATCTCTGGTGATGTTTTCTCATTGTACCACACACCACTAATCAAATATCTGATGGCACCTGAATACTTCCAGTGCTTAATACTTGCTTATTTCATTGCCACAGTCTCAATTGCTGTAATTTCAGAGATATTTATTACATTCTTTTTTTTTTTTCCAATTTAGAAAAATCTCAGCTGTGAAACGTCTAGGGTATAGAGGCTTATACTCAATATTAGTTTTACTTTCCAATTAATGAGGAATGAGCAGATTTTCTTTTCTTTTTACCAACTTAATGTTTAGCAATTTTTTCTAAAACCTATTTTAAAATCAAACAAAGTTGTACCATCTTAATAAGTAATTAATAGTTTACATATTTGAATCTCCCTTTGAGTAAAGATGTTATTGTGAGATTATGAGGATTTTTAAAAAAATTTTGTTATGTTGATTTGTGACAAGGATTGATAATTAGATGCTTGACACTAGGTCAGAGGCTGGGAAGTCTCCCTATCTCTCTCTTTTAATCCAAACATCTAATATCATTTTATTTTCATATGTTCTGCCATTTCCCTTTAAGTTAAAAAGCAAAAATAATACTCTGCTTTTATGCTCAGTGCTTTCTTCAAATATTATGGTTAACCTAGGTAGGGGGAAATATTTTATAGTGTCTCTCTTATTCCCTGCCCCCAGTAATATTCTTGTTTGTCCTATTAAAGTACAGGCACTATGGGTCAAATTGACACAGTTTGCACCACACCACTCTTATTTCAGGCACTCAAGCCTGAATTCTACAAGTTGTTAATGTCTAATGGATATGAAGACACTTGTGAGGACGAAAACAATTTGACCACTTGGTGTTGGGAAGAGCTCAGAAAGAAGCTTCCCAGTGTTGTTCAGACTATAACAATTCAACCATTGATATTTCCAGAATTTTTATGTTCATATTTTTACCACCAAATCTAGAGAAGAAAATAAGGAGAAGGTCATCAGAGGGTCAAATACAATGGCGTGAAGGAAGCTGTATGTCTTAAACTGGATAGAGGAATAAAGAATATGCAGTGGCAAAATTGCCAAACTATTTAAATAACTTGGGTGTGATTTAATCCTTTAGAGAGACATGGGAAGGGATGATTTGGTGAGCAATAAAGATGCAACAGGGACTGAAATCAGAGTTCGAGTCAGAAGGGAAATTGGGAGGGTGGTTAATACTTTTACTTTCATACACTCCAAATTAAATGCTAGACTGATACATCTAGACTAAGAGACGTTTGGCAATAAAAGAGAGGGCAAAGAATAAAAAGGCGGAGGTGGACCTGACCTCGTCCAGCAAAGAACAGCAACACCTCCTGAATCACTGCTGTTACTCTGGGCACCTGTGTTTAATTTGAAGGCCTCCATCCCTCTTACATTATGAGACCTAATGAGATCATGGCTGGAGGTGGTATGACTGGACTTTTTGTGGCTGAGTTGTACACATTTCTGTTTTATCCCCTAATCTTTGTGATGAAATCACTGTTGCGAATTGAATCAGAGTTTCACTATGGCTGGCATGCAAGTTATTATTCTCAGTACACATTTTCCTCTTTACCAAAAATGGTACTAACAACTTGGGATCATGTTCATCTGTGGAAAACAAAATGGAAAGAATATGAAAATCCTTTAAATCTCCTCTGGAAAATGACTTAGAAAAACAACATTAACATCAGATTCTCAGGATTAAATCATCATTCTTTAAGTGAATTTTAGGTTGAAAATTTTTAATTTTTGGAAAGATGTATTCTAACTTTGAGAAACTGGTTAATTACAATATTTTTAAAAGCTGTAACTAAAGATAATACAAATAATAGTGAATAAAGGCCGTTGTTGCATATTTGGCTAACTACAGCTCAAATATAGAACCTAGTACTCTGACTTCACTCAGGTGTTATCTCCTACATACAAAACTTGGCACAATTAACTAAGCTCACAGAAATCGTGAGAAATTTGTTCTTAAGCTTTCATACTCTTCTGTCTGGAGATTCTCTTAACCTAAGAGTTGAGCATATCCACTGAGGATAGTTGCATAATCTATAAACACAGATTGAAGAAAATGACTTGTGACCTCATGCTTGTGACCTAGATCCTACTAGTTAGCAGAGTTAAGAATGAAATTCAGTGGAGGCAGTAACTGCTGGGGGATCTAGTCCTAGTTTCAACACTGCTCTTTTCATGATTTTGGAGAACCATTTTCCTCACACTACTCTGACTTCCTCTTCTATAAAACGAAGTACAAAACCTTGAATATAGTTGGCATTCAGCATATATTTATGAAATTAAATACAATATTATATCAATCAGGATTCTGGTTGGAAATAACACAACTTCGACTTCAGCTACTTTCTGCACAGAAGAGGGTTTGTTGGTTTACTTAACAAAGCTGAGGGAAGGGCAACGGTGGATTTCATTTAAGGAAGGGCTCCAGGACTCAAATACCATCAGGGCTGTCTTGTTCCTCTGCATTCTTTCACCTCAGCTAATTCTACTGGCAGGCCACATGGCCACCAGCAGCTCTTACATCTTAATGCTCTTTTGTGACAAAAAGGGAAAGACCCCTTTACTCTAGTATAGATAGAAAAATTTTAAAGCCAAATTCTCATTGGTCTGATTGGTATCTTGATTCACACCTTTTAACCAAATAATGTCCCTCAGAGAGTGAGTTCTGCAGACGTTTTACGTACATACACACATGCACACACATATACACACACTGAAATTACATATATATGAAAGTTCAGTGATGACTTTAGGAAAAAAGAGTGGTTCACCTATAAACGTGAAACATGTTCCTTTTGTTTTCGGTTTCCCACACTAGCTACATAGAAGCTGTTTTCAGGAGTAGAGGGATCAAAACAAGGGACCTCCATGTTTTCACGAAGCTGGCTCAGGCTCTGCTCTTGGTGCAGGTGTTTAAAGACTCCTACATCTTCAGGATGGACACCTGGGCTCTCTCTGCTCCATTAGCATAGTAAAGGCCTTCTATCTTATGCAGAGCCTGACATGCATTTCTGAAAAACAAACAAACAAACAAAAAAGCAAATTCCTAGCTCCTTTAATGTGGTTTTAGCACAAAATCCTTGATTGCAGGAGAACCTGCCTCAATGTGATAATAAATAAAGCTACTGCCGCTTTTTTGTTGGATGTCAGACACAATGTTAGAAGCTTTCGGTGGTGTGCTAAAGCAAGCTACTACTGGCTCCTGAAATCCTGTTATTAGCAGATCTTCTCTTGATACGTTCAGCATGGCAAGGATGTAGGTTGAAACTGATGATGGGCATTCACATCACAAAATTGGTAAATGGAACAAATCAAGACCCCTGACCTCCCATACAGACCTGGTTGTTAAACTCTTACCTAGCACATGACTGGAAGCTTCATATTTATTACTTTACTTAATCCTCATCACAGTCTCATGATGTATATTGTTATCTTCATTTTAAAAATTAATTTAGAAAAGGGGAGATATCAGTGTGGTTAAGAACATACATTGCATTACTTGTTTGGACCTGACTTCTGTCTGCTCCAAAGCCCTACACCTGGAAGGCAGCTGACCATGTGTTATCTTTTCCTTAGCAGCCCTTCCATTTGTCATTTCTCACATCAACCAACACTGAAATGTCAGCTCTTTTAGGGAGAGAATGTAATCCATTGGCAGAAGTGCTTTCACTCAGCTAAAAATCTCTGGCTACACTGAGGAAATGTTCTTCTGTGTTTCTTCCACTTCTTGCTGCAGGTGGTTCATTGGGGATTGGTTGGAGTGTAGCAAGACTTGTGATGGTGGAATGCGCACCAGGGCAGTGCTCTGCATCAGGAAGATTGGACCTTCTGAGGAGGAGACACTGGACTACAGTGGTTGTTTAACACACCGGCCTATTGAAAAAGAGCCCTGCAACAACCAGTCATGTCCACCTCAGTGGGTGGCTTTGGACTGGTCAGAAGTAAGGAAACATGAGGCTATATATTTTGAGCTCCAAAGCGTTTAATACTAAGGACACTTAACCATGTGAACGCCTTAGAACTCAACAAGTAGGGACTCCTTAACAGTAAATTTGGTCCTGTTATATTTTATTGCTGCTTGTCAGGAAGTAAGGGTTTTGGGGGTGGGGGGGCATGGTTAAGGAAATCAATGAAAAACTAGACATCAGTGTGATTAAAAATAAACCCAAAGTGAATTTGAAAGAATATAATAGTATTCACATAAGTGATTTTTCTCCTTCTTTGCTATTCTTTTTTTTTCTTCTTTGCTATTCTTGAGCAGCAAAATAAGCTCAGAATTAGTGATAGATCTTTTCTCCCCACATAATGTAGCCTAACTACATAATTCATACATTTGAATATTTATCAATTTTTAATCACTTACTATATATCTAAATATGTTTTAATTGCTTCTGTTGCATCTGGGGAAGAAACATGGATTTGAGGGTTATAATATACCAAAAAGTCAAATTCAGATTTTATCATTATCTCTGCTTATATGATCGGAGAGGGAGACCTAAGATAATGGTTTTCCAGCATACATGTGTATAAAAGAGCCTAAAACAATCCAAAGGACTCAGAAAAATGGTCTTATGAAAAATAAGGTAAGAGGTAGAGTTAATTCTTGACTCCTCATTCTGCATGAGACATAAACATATAAACACCATGCCATTCTCCACATTTCCCAAAGAAGGGTTGAATTCTTCTGTAGAATTCTAAAAAGAATGAATACCTGGCTACATAACTAAAGGTCATTCTTCCAATTTAGCCAAACAGGATGCATTTCCTGCTGGAAACATTGTGGTACTTGCTTTGGGTATTTCCTGTAGACCTCATAAGTTTGTTAAAATAATAATAATAAATAAATAAATAAATAAATAAATAAACAAACAGAAAACATACATTATTCTTTAGGAACCTCCGGATGTAACTTTTCCCCTTCTGAATCTTACTTCTAGAGTGGCCTTATTTTACTAGAGGCATGGGCCTAAAAGAGGGACTGTGTTTAAGATGGTACATGGAAATGGGAGATTCTGACCCATTGTGGTTATCTATGGAATCTGTGGTGGGAGTTGGGAGTGTTCTCCCAAGTTTCCTGGCCAAACTCCAGCTCCAGTAATTACGTCTGCCTACTTAACTTTTGTGTTTCAATCAAATGCAGAGATATGCTTGGTATTATTCACTGAGTGGTTATGGAAAACAGTATGAAGTTTCTGTTCCTTAAAAGTGGGTGGATTAACTTCTAAATTGATTTTTTTAAAAGGTTTTGTTTATTTATTTATTAAGAGAGAGAGAGAGCACAAGAAGCGGGGAGGTCAGAGGGAGAAGCAGACTCCCTGCTGAGCAGGGAGCCCAATGTGGGACTCGATCCTGGGATTCTGGGATCATAACCTGAGCCAAAGGCAGTTGCTTAACCCACTGAGCCACAAAGATGCCCCTCCTAAATTGATTTGAAAGATAAAACCTACTGATAAAGAATAGACATTCTACAGAGTTATACATAAATTGGTAATTTTACCTGAAATTCAGTGCCTAAGACCCTCTAGAAGTTCACAAGTAGCTACTGAGAATGATGAAAAATTTGTTATTAGAAAACCATAGTGGAAGACGTGACTTTTGTCTTCAACAGTTTTAACGTTTCAGGTCAAGCCCCTACTTATAATTTAGTGCTAAATAAACACACTGGAATGGGCACTACAAATAACACAAAAGAATCCTGTAAACTTGGGAAAGTAAATGTCCATGAAACAACTAGAGAATGATATAAGATAGTGTTTAATAAATGAGGTAGAAATGTATAAGTGATATAGAAATTTAGAGCTGAGAAGGTCAGAATAGACTGAGGTAGGATCAGAAAGCTTTTTAGGTGATGAGAATTAAACTGAATATTGAAATATGGGATATGAAATAGGGAAGAGATTAGAGAAACTGGAGAAGATATTCCTGATGTCAGGATAGAGTTATTTATTCAGTTACTTATTCAGAAAATATTGCTGAAACAAATGAGTAGAAACACAAACATTTTGTGGTCCAAGTAGGGTGGTGAAGAGAGTTTGTTTTAAAGAGTAAATGGAAAAGAAGATTGAGTAAAGTAGTAATAGATAATAAAAAGGATTGAATACAGAAACGTATACATCATCTTTCTACCCAAAGTGGAAAAAAGTAGTTAAGTTCATAAGCAGACACAAGAAGAAATTTCTGCCAACCATGAAAACACTAAAATCACACGCATAGATTTCACGTTAATCTCTTGATCTACACTTTTCTATATCAGTATATTTTTATTTTAACATAAAACAAATATAATCACCTTGAGAAATGGCATATGTATAGTTATTGTTATTTCCATTTCAAATACCTTTTTAAAGTTTTCTTCTGAAATCAACTTCATATAGGTTGTATTTGCCCTGCTCTTCGAATTTTGATTCTCTGTTGTTTGTTTGTTTTTAGAGAGAGCACACGCAAGCAAGCAGTGGGGCGGGGAAGGGCATAGGGATAGGGAGAGAGAGAATCGGTAGGAGGCTCCACACCTAGCCCAGAGCTCTACATGACGCTCCATCTCAGGACCCTGAGATCATAGCCTGAGCCAGAATCAAGATGCTTAACCAACTGAGCCACCTGGGTGCCCCTAGAATTTTGATTCTTACCCATCCATTCTTAGAGGTGACTTGCTCAAATATGTCTGAGAGGCTCTTAAGCACTCCTGGAGCCTTCCTGAAGAATAGCATGAATAAGTTAGGTGGGCTTTTAATCACATTTCTGCTACCTTCTTTAAGGTAGCTAAATCAGGGGCTCCTGAGTGGCTCAGTTGGTTAAGCACCTGACTCTTGATTTGGGTTGAGGTCATGATCTCAGGGCTCTGAGATCAAGCCCTCCATGAGATCAAGTGTGGGCTCTGCGATAAGCATGAAGCCTGCTTAAGATTTTCTTTTTCTCGGGGCGCCTGGGTGAGTCAGAGGGTTAAGCCTCTGCCTTCGCCTCAGGTCATGATCTCAGAGTCCTGGAATTGAGCCCCGCATCGGGCTCTGTGCTTGGCAGGGAGCCCGCCTCCCCCTCTCTCTCTGCCTGCCTCTCTGCCTACTTGTGATCTCTGTCTCTCTGTCAAATAAATAAATGAAATCTTAAAAAAAAAAAAAAAAAAGATTTTTCTCTCTCTCCCTGTGCCCCTCCTGCCACCCACCTCAACCCCCACAGCTGTTCATGTAAATGTGCTCAAAAACAATAAAATATATAAAGATTTTTAAAAATTAATTAGAAAAAAAAGATAGCTAAGTCAAAGCTTAGGAGAAAGAGGTAGTGCGGAAGATGTCGTATGTACATGTTGGGACTACTGTTTCAAGGGAAGCATTGGTGGCTGCTGTTGTCTCTCCACAGACAATCTGAGAAAACTGTAGGGGTAGGCATAGGTCAAGAAATGCTGCCATTACCATCTCAAAGATTCTAGGTGAACACTGTCTGCACCATCATCTTTATTCTTTGGATCTTCCTCGGGAAAAAGGACCTAAGCTTTATGCCATATAGGCTTTCCTATTTATTTTCCAAAGGAGTGGTCTACTCTCACACTTCCATTTCCTTACTTTACTAGGATGGCCACTTCTTCCCTAGATGGATTAAAAATAAACAAAAGTAAATAATATTAAGTGAAATAAATGTCTGAGTCGCTATGGAGACCAAAGTGAGAACAAGGAGCCTGTTCTACCTAAAGGAACAGAATACCTCCCACTAATGAAAAGAGGAGGTCCTAGCAACAGAGAAGGGCATATTCTATCTTTTTTAGTTAACTGCTACAAATATTTCACACAATATTCTTTTGACACGCCCCTGGAAACTTCCCTCCTTTTTCAGCCCCTTCCCCACTTCCAACTATCAGCTGTCTGAGCTGTGCTAATCACAAGGGAGAGGTTCAACTGGTGAAAACATGTTGCAGCAAGAGGAATGTACCCTTTGACCTTTTCCTTTTCTTTGCCAGCGCTCTAATATAAAATTTCCATTGTTCCAAAGCCAGGAACCATTTTTCGTTTTCCCCATCAGTGAAACCCACCCGGTGTTTATGGCAAAAGAAAAAAAAAAAAAAAAAGCCAAATTACCTTGGTGGAAAATGGCTCTTCAGCAATCTTTTTGTGAGACTAATGAAGGCACGGCTTTCCCATTTCCTATAATCTAGCTTCACTCTTGGGATCACCCATGCTATGTTGGACTTAAATGGTTTTCTCTTTTTGCCCTCTCTTGGCAAATAACTTTTAAAAGCATTGCTGCATACTGTGGATGGGCTCCAACAATCCTAAGCCATTCTTTTGATGTATTGGAATAGTTTCTTTTGACTCCCACAGAGCAACCATTGAAAAAGATCTGTTTCTTGTACTTACTCTTGGACAAGAGGATAACTGCTGGCATCATATTCAATTGATTTTCTAGGACATACATTCAGGTAGCATTACTTAAGAAGGACTGAGGGGTGTTGGAAAGGGTGGAAAACCTACCTTCAGGGGACTGTGCTTTGTTTTTGAAGACAGTTGTGACATCGCCTTGTTGATTCTTAGGTTCTACTCTGGTGCTATAACAAAGTGAATTAAACCTATCTCTCCAGAGAGAACTCAGTCCAACCCCAAAATGGTAAAATTTCTATCCTTTACATATGAGAGCCAAATTCTTTTCTCTGGTGTGGTTCCAAATACTTTTCTCTACAAAATATGTTTTTCTTTTTTAATCATTGATCATTAAAGCTAAAGCATAAATGCTTCTATCATAAAAATTACCTGAGATGAAAACACAAAACAAATGGTCTGGTCATATTTTAAATAATTGTAAAATTTTGATTTTATGAATAAATAAGAAAAATAGGTATTTACCTGCAATAAAGAAAAATAGCGAGAAATAATTTTACCAAAGAATGGATTCAGGGCTGCTGGGTGGCTCAGTGGGTTAAGCCTCTGCCTTCGGTTCAGGTCATGATCTCAGCGTCCCTGGAATCGAGCCCCACATTGGGCTCTCTGCTCACAAGGGAGCCTGCTTCCCCGCTCTTTCTCTGCCTGCTGCTCTGCCTACTTGTGATCTCTCTCTCTGTGTCAAATAAATAAATATAATCTTAAAAAAAAAAAAAGAATGGATTGTCCACTGAAATAGTATCTTCTACACAGCAACCTATAATTTATTGTGAGAATGAATGGAATGGATTTTGATGTTTATACCTATGCTTTCATCTAAAAAAGTGAATTCTATTACTCATCTCAGGATTCAATATCTAATTGTTACTAATGAATTTTAGTGTGTAGTAAAAAAAATATGTAAAAATCTACCCTTTATGTGGGCAGAGACCAATGATTATTTCTGAAGAATGCTCTGAAGCATTAATACTTATTAATCATATACCTAATCATGGCTACATCTTGCTTTTCTAAAATTTCTTATTTTTTAATTTAATTTTATTTCATTTATTTATTTATTTTAAAGATTTTATTTATGTATTTGAGAGAGAGATCACAAGCAGGCAGAGAGGCAGGCAGAGAGAGAGGGGGAAGCAAGCTCCCCGCTGAGCAGAGAGCCCGATGCGGGGCTTGATCCCAGGACCCTGGGATCATGACCTGAGCCAAAGACAGAGGCTTTAACCCACTGAGCCACCCAGGCACCCCAAAAATTTCTTATTTTTTTAGACAGTTAAATAAAACTGAAACTGTCAGATGGATAAACCTGTTTATCAGAAGGCTAGAGAGATGAAATGTAGGCTGTGTAAAGCAGAAGGAAGAAATAAAAATAAAAACAAGCTGAGAGACATCTCTGCTTGAACATCTCTGACCTAAGATCAAAATAATTTGCCAGATAGAGTTCTCCTTGGATGAACCTGGTCTAAGTGGCATCCCTAATGCCTTTACTGGTTGTTGTTGTTGTTTTTACAAGCAATTTTTAAACACTGAATTTCATAATCTCCCTTAAGAAGTACAATATTTGCAGAGAACAGAGGTGAGGCTTTGGCCACAGACGTGTAGTATTTGTGGCTAGGTCTGCAGGGGTCAGGGCTGGTGTATTTATTGAATCAGAAACTGGCAGAAATGTAGTTTTCAGTCATTCATTATTTTGAGAATCCAGTGGATTATTCCTACTTCTAGTGCAATGGGAAGGAATATCCTCAGCTTATTTAGTGGAGTTGGGCTGTAATTTTCTAAAATTATTTTTTTGCCTCAGTAGAGGTTGTCATTGTATTCTCAGTTTTGCGTATAATCATATGTTGTCCCACAGAGAGTTTGTGTCTCAGTGTATTTACTTTTCAGAGCTTTGTTCTGGTAGAAACTTGCTATCTGGATTTATCTATAAATCTTTCTCAGTGCTTCAGTTTCTCCCCTGTAGAGTAGGTGTGAAAATAGTACTTCCTAACATTTCTGTGAGGATCAGGTAGAGTATGACATGCAAAGTACTTAGAACACTGTCTGGTGCTTAATAAATATTGGTGTTGCTTTCTCTTTTTATTCTTCTCCCGCTTGATACCAGTGTTACTTGTTTCAGTTTGGTTTTGGTTTCCTGGGAACTTCTAGACATGAATGAATGAATTTTCTGTCATTGCATTGTCTTGCTCCCCTAACTGTTAGCAGGACTTTGGCATAGGCTCTTAGCAAAGACTGCTAGATATTAACACATTCTTCAAATAATAACAGAAGCTTCTTGCTACTGGAAAAAGGTATTCAAATAAGCAAAAAGCATATATCCCCAGCTTTTATATACATACATATGCTTTTAAAATGTAAAGGGAGAGGGGAGTGTCACAAGTGTATTTATTAATAAATGTTGCCAATATGGAAAACTAATCATAGCTTAAAATACTAAAATTGAATTTCTTATCTATCCTATGTGTTTTTGCCTATCTCCCTAAAGTCAGAATTAATCTTCTTTTTGTATCTCAATTTATTTTTTAATAATTAGTTAATACTTCTTATGTGTTCCCATGACTTTGTTTCTGCTGCTGAGAGCTATAATGTGGATCCGAAGGCCTAAAATTTAGTTCCTCCTCTACCATTTGCTGTTTCACCTTAAGTGACTTAAGCTTTCCTTATCTGTAACTGTTCTCAAACATTTGTGTAAGAATAATGTCTTTGAAAGTGTTTCATGCGTGAGCTGTGAAACTTTAATGAGATATAAGGTAGTAGTGTTATTATTGATGATAATATTAAGCAATAAGAAAGTGACAGAACTATCTTCTAAGGCTTTGGCTTCTAACACTGGTGGATGGTGAGGAGACTTCGTGCAAAGTCAGGAGGACTAGACACGAGTGGGGCATGCTCAAGAGACTAGAATCAGGGCTTTATTCATTCTACAGAACACATGCAGGAGATGATTGCATGTCTTGGTTTCTTGAAATATAAAGTATTGGGAGTGTTATGATGATCACATGAGATAATAAGTGCAAAGCACATAGTGTAATGCCTAACATCCAGGAGACAGTGGGAGTTAGTATTGGGTCTGCCATTTAGTAGCTGCATGACTTTCTACCACTTGCTCTTAGACGGTTTCCTCATTTTAAAGACAGAGTAATAATTGTCATCTGACAGGATTTTTGTGAAGACTATGTAAATTACAGCACTTAACACAACACTTGGTATATACCATGTTTATTAAATGGTATCTGCTATTATCATCATTATTTTTAGTAGTGGTTAACTAACAGAAATGACAGCAGCATTGGCATTGTGTGTGGCACTGGGCTAGCCCTGGAGAATACAGCACATTAGTGTGGAGCGATGAGTCTGGAGAGGTAAGCGTAGCCTTCCTATCAGGATATAGTAAGCATATTTAGAATTTGAATTTTTATCTTGTAGACAATAGCAAGCCATTGAAGGATTTTTCTGTTTTAATCACAAGAGCATATAATTGGATTTCTCCTTTGGAGAGTGAACGGAGATAAGAGCAAGAAACAGGAGACCTCTTAGAAAGCCAGTGCAGGGGCACCTAGGTGCAGTCGTTAGGTGTGTCTGCCTTGGGCTCAGGTCATGATCCCAGGGTCCTGGTATCAAGCCCCACATCAGTCTCCCTGCTTGGTGGAGAGCCTGCTTCTCCCTCTCCCATTCCTCAGGCTTGTATTCCCTCTCTTGGTGTCTCTCTCTCTGTCAAATAAATAAAATCTAAAGAATAAAGAAAGAAAGAAAGAAAGAAAGAGAGAGAGAGAAAGAAAAGGAAAGAAAAGAAAGAAAGCCAGTGCAATATTACATGAAAAAAATGATGTTTGTCTGAAGTAAGGTTAGTGGCAGTGGAGACAAAGAGAAATCAATAGATGTGAGAGAGCTGTAGGGGCTCCACACTCAGCAGGGAGTCAACTTGAGGATTCTCTCTCCTTCTCCCTCTACCATCCACCCTGTTTCCTCTCATTCTCTCTCTCTCTCTCTCTCTCTCCCCCCTCCCTCCAAAATCAGTCAATCAATCAATCATTTTAAAAAACTATTAGCTTCTGGAAGGTAGGGATCATCTTATTTTTAATATCCCCTTCTCAGTCTAGTGTAACTCTTACAGTGGATCTGGAAATTTCTTCTTTCTTTCTTTCATTCTAATGAAAGGTATAGAAGCATGTTTTTTAAAAGTGTTATGGGTAAGGTCATCACTTGACTGAGAGGAAGAACAGATTTTAAGGAAGGTTTCAGATGTGCAGGGGAGAAAGTTGGAGACTTTAGTCAGTCACCATGTTTAATAGGTGACTCTAGAAAGATAACATTCCACTTAACCTGGAGAAAAGGTAAATAATAGACTTTGTGACATAGGAAGAAGCATTTTTTCCTCAGTATGAAGATCAGACTGGTTCAACTAAAGAACAGTCAAAATTCATTATGTTTGGGAAATTCATTATGGACAGAGGAAATCCAGAGATTTTCTGTGCAATAAACTCCACCAATGGCCATGTATGCTTAGTTACCATCCTCTAAGAAAACACACCTCAGTCAACCCCTAGCCTGCCTCACAAAGATGAGTTCTCATGGTCTACGAATAATGGAAGGATTCTTTTTGGAAGACTACATCCAGCAGGTAGGAAACCAAAGATTCCACATTCCAAAAATTAGCAGAGTCTTATCACAGCTGAATGTGGCCAAGGATAGGGAGGAATCGAGGAATAAACCTACCTACAATAAAAGAAATAAGTTAGCCAAGAAAAGCAAACTTTGGCTTTAGCCCTTAAAGTCCTTAGGGAAAAATATAAAAGTACTTTTGCCTAAAAACTTAAGGAATTTTCATATCTGAAAGACTTTGCCCAGAATTTAGTGTATATGCATATTGTATACCCAAACACATTTACTTCAAGAAAGATTTTTCTCCCAATTTTCCTCTATCTTTAGAATGCTGTTATTTATTTGTTTCATTTCCAGTGTACTCCCAAATGTGGTCCAGGATTCAAGCATCGGATTGTTCTGTGCAAGAGCAGTGACCTCTCTAAAACATTCCCAGCTGTGCAGTGTCCAGAAGAGAGCAAACCCCCTGTCCGTATCCGCTGCAGTTTGGGCCGCTGCCCTCCTCCTCGCTGGGTGACTGGAGACTGGGGCCAGGTAAGGCAGTTGCACAGCGGGGCTCCTACTGAAGCAGCACCTTGAGACCCTTGAGTTTCCTGCCTGGGTCGTTATGAGAGCTTAAGAGTTGAGTAACACCACTGAGAAATCTAGGTATGAGATACAAGAATGAAAAAAATGCACACGCAGCAGCTGCCACACATAGACCCATTTAACTGTGTCTCTCCCACGCCCACACACTTCCTAATTTTACCTACTTCTTGGATCTTAACATTTTAACTTAAAATGGAAAGAGAAGTCTATATGGGCAGATATTTGAGCAAGCCAAAACAAACTTTGGATTCTAGTCCTATCTCTCAACTACTTCAAGAACAAATCAGTTAATATCAGTGTCTTAACTTTACTACTTGCAAAGTAGCTCCTCTTAACTTCACAGAAAAGTTATGGGTGTTACGTTGATCAGTCTTTGCAATATTATTAATATTTATTCTTCAATAGGTTTATCAGATGGACATGAGTTGGGAAGCCAGTATATAAGGCTTTTCATATGTATTTTTATTAGACACATTTTATGTTCTAATTTACATTTTTTCTTTTTTTATTCTTACTTTTAAATTTTGCTATCTAATAGAAGACCACCTTAAATCCTTTTAAAACAAACTGGTATGTTTGATTAAAAGGAAAATTGAGTTTTATTCTTTTGAATGTCAAAAAGAGAATCTATTAGGTTACATTTTAAAAAAATGCTCCAGAAAATAAGTTTCTAGATGGTTATTGCCCTTTTCCTGTGGTCTTATAATTAACCTTGTAGCTAGTTGTTTCCTAAAATCTGAGGCCCAAATAAATCATGATACATAACTATACGAGTATGGTTTTGGACCTGCCATTACTTCTTTAAAATGGCATTGCATAGAAGTAGTTGGCAAAATTCTGGCCAAACTTAGGTATTTCTAGAGTATAGCAGTATCTGGACCTCTTTTGTTACATTTGGGAGAGGGCAAAAGATTTTCAGTCTTCATTAAGGCAAATAAATATACTTTCTCTGTGCTTGGTCAGCCCTGTGGGTAAACAGGAAAAAATATGATCATAACATAGTTAACATTTGCATTTGTATAACAAACCATTAATAATTTGCATTTGTATAGCAGTATTTAATTTATAAAATACTTAAATGGATACACATGATAGGGTAAAGCATTATAAGCAATTATGTGTGTCACTGTGGAAGTGTAAGTTTCATAATATGGAATTGATATGCTATTAAAGAATCAGAACAGACATGCTCTCATAATTTTTATTTAAACCAGGTAGACATTTCCTTCCTTACATATTCTTTGTTGCAATGCACTATTATATAAAAGTCAGTTGAAAGTTTTTGCATGTTAGTGATTTTGCCAAATTTATAGTCAGTTTCAGATTATTTTTTAAAATATTGTCAAGTCCTTTTCTTCTCATCTATATTTTAAATTCAGTTTCCTAACATTAAAATTAGCTGGTAAAAATATATTCTCAAGGATGCTTTAATACATGTTTATGGTCCCGTTTGTTCGTCATTTTGTATTTAAACTTTTTTTTAATAAATGTGTCTATGAATATCCTTGCAAGTCCTATAAGTGCTTTGAGAGTTTTTAACAAATAAATTCAAAAGGGCCTCAGTTTGTTTACCTTGTAAACATCACCATCACCTGTCTTGGCACTGGCTAGCTCATCTCCTTGATCCCAAATCTCACAGGCTTTGCTGGCATTCTGGGTGGCAGACCTAAAGGGTAGACCCAGCTTCATTCTTCAGCCTGGACAGCTGATTAGTCCCTGCTGAAACTAAGTCACTCTGAGAGTAACTTCAATTCGGAAGTAACTAAATTCCCGATAGATGAAAAAGAAGAGGGAGACATGCTGCTTGGTTCACATTTGTGTGACTGACATCTTAGAAAACTCAGAATACTTATTTAAGCTCTTTTTTTTTTTTTTTTTTAAACTGGTCCCCATTACCAGCCTGCACAGCAGTCACTGCTCTTATACTGAACTCACATTTTGATCAGATACACAGTGCTCCGGTAGACCATCAGATTGTTTACCCGTAAGCCTATAATAAATAGGGAGCAGAAGTGATGTCCAGCCCCAGAATCTCTAATCTACTTCATCCTGAGGATTTTCTTATTGTACTCCTGTGACAGTTCACCTACTTGGAACTGTTAGAAAAGTAGCCCAAGAAATCTCTTGTTCCTTGGGAGCTATATTGCTTCCATTTTCTAGGGTAATCACATGACCTGTGAATTTCCAAACCAGTTCTAGAGGAGAATGACTTAATCATACCCCTCTCCAAGATGAACTTCATATGGATTTTAAAAGCTAATATATATATGGTATTTGAGAAGTATAGTATCTTTTTACCTGCTGAAAATTATTGATATCAGTATTTTGTTTTCCCCTGTGTCTTTGGGTTTAGTGTTCTGCTCAGTGTGGCCTTGGCCAGCAGATGAGGACTGTGCAGTGTCTCTCCTACACTGGACAGGCATCTGTTGACTGTCCAGAAACTGTTCGACCTCCATCGATGCAGCAGTGTGAAAGCAAATGTGACAGTACCCCCATTTCCAATACTGAAGGTGAGTTTCCCATGGAGAAAGGGCCTGTGTGTCTAGTGACTCACCTGTACTGGTTCCCAGGGTTTGAAGAGCCCCATAAAGACGCCATTGTTAGTGTAGTTTGTACAGAGCTTTTGTGAAAGCTGCACGTTTACTGGATATGTGATAAGGAAACCTACATTTTTTCCCCTGACTCTGACACTAACTATATGACCTTGTTAATCACTTAACCTTTCTGGAGCTAAGTTCGCTTATCTATACCGTGGGAGACTGGAGTGGGTAACCTCTAATGTCACATCCAACCTAGCATTCTGTGTTTGACTTGTGCCAGAATTGAGAGATGATTTCTAATGAACCACAGTTTGAAGTGAAAACTTCTGTTTCTTTTTGGAGGTAACAACGGATCTCTACCATCATGAAGGTTAAAATTCATGCTTGTTATACATATAATGAAAGCATATGTTTGAAACTGTGTTTCAAATGTTAATTTTCTCATTGTAGAAAAGAAGAAAAAGATAATTACGTAGCTGTTTATAGAGGAAGACAGTGTCTTTGGGCTCAGAGGTTTCTCTTTCTTATGTATTGGGCAATCAATCACATAGGTTTAGAGGTCCATTTTTCTTTCTGAGTTGGAAGATAAATGGTTGAGGTAGAAAAGAGGATATAACTATCATATTAAGTTCCTGTGTATTGGATATTATGATAGGCCCTTTATATTTATGTCCACCTAATATGTCTCATATACATAAATATCTGTGTGTGTGTGTACATGCACATGCATGTTATAATATGACAAGAACCTTCCAACAGCTGCTATTACTGAGGAGGAAACTGAGGTTCAGAGAACGATAGTGACTTGCCCAAATTAGTAGACTCAGGATTTGAACCCAGATACGGCAGAGCCCAAGGACATGTCAGTTTCAACATTTTTATGCTATTCTTAATTCACTCTTTAAGGATGGTATTTTAGCATGAAAAAGAGCTTCTGGTTATAAAGTTACAACACTTGTAGCTTGACCATCATGCTGAGTCATTAGATTTAGGCTCAGTCATTGCTGAAAGAACTGGCTTTTTAACATCCCCACAGCAATATATATATTGCAATATATACGAAGCAATTTATAGCTTCATTTTAGGCATTTTAGTAATTTCCCCCCAATTTTTTTTTTTTAATAGTGGTTATCATCCATAACCTTCACAGCTGGAGATGCAAAGTTTTCAGGGTGGGCAAAATATCATTTGCACCTGGACTTACTTCTGCCTTAAAGAAATTCTCCTAAAATGGATAGGTGTTAATCTGAGGTTTCTTGAATTATTTGGAGAAACACCTCATGGTCATTTAATCTTCCTGGCCAAATCACTTTTTGTTAATATTAATTTGACATAAGCAGTTAAGACAGTATTTTTAGCCTTCTTAGTAAAGGAGGAAACTTTTAGGAAATTATTAATCCTACAAAATATGACTAATCTTAGAACTATTATTCCCTAAAGCTGCTGACTCATTGAAAAGAAAGAGGATGGCTCTTACGAAATTAGATTTAAAGTGGGTATGTCTGTCGTAACTTGTTTTGTGTTCTCTTTGGCTTCCTAATAACATATATTGAATACATTTAAATACCTGAAACTATCAGTTCATTTCATCAGCAGCTAATTATCAAATGCTTGTTGTGGCCAGCCTTGGTCATTCATTATGGAAAATTCAAGTGCATTTATAAGTTCATCGTCTTACAGGGAAGATACTTAAGAAAAAAAATAATAAAGGAAGCTAGAAGGTGTTATGTGGAGCAGTTAACATAGTGCTGAGAGAGTTGGAGAGTTGAAATGGAAGACCAGTGACTTTAACCTTATAGATCAAGGCAAGCTTCATAGACTAAAGTGGTCTGTGAACCAGCTATTATATGTGGTTGGAAAAATAACCCAGTGTGTGCCCTGGGAAAGAGGATGAAACGGTTGAATTAAATCATAAGTTGTCATTCATAAAGATATGGAATGTACAGATAACATTGATTTCAAAAGAGAAGAGATTCTCGCATGAAGTTATTATGAGTAATCTAATCTGACTTCTGGGGGACACCTGGGTGGTTCAGTCAGTTAAACGTCTGCTTTCCACTCAGGTCCTGATCCAACCCCGAGTTGGGCTCCCTTCTCAACAGGGAGCCTATTCTCTCTCTCCCTCTGCCCTTCCTTTCTGCTTGTGGTTTCTTTCTCTCTCTCAAATAAATAAAATCTTTTTAATAAATAAATAAATAATATGACTTCTGGAAATCAGACCAGGGAGAGAAGAAATGCCTGTTACTAAGGGAGAGTTGGGAGAGACGTTTGGTAGTAGGGGAAGGAGTACGCTCTGGTTACTGCAGGAAAGTAGAAAAGGACCCCTTCCCCCCCGCAGAATCAGGTTCTCTTGACGGTTAGTGGAAAGCTATGAAAAAACTAGTTCAGCTCTACCCCAAGACAGAGTAGGACTAAAGGAGATCTCTTGGGATCTAAAATATAGTTTTTCAGTAGGGTGTCTATGGGTGAAATGGATAGAATCTTGAGAATTGCTTTAACAGCCACAGTTTAGAAATTGGTCCCATTCTAACATTTTATTATGAAAATAATAAAAAGTGTCAAACATAACAGCAAAGTTGAAAGAATTATACAATGAATACCCACCATCTGGATTCCAGCTTTATCATATTCCTGAGCTTGATATATCACATATATATCTATCTGTCCATCCCTCAATGTAATGGTTTTAAATAATGTTCTCCATTCACCCAACCATTATTACTTACCTAATAAACATTACTGACTATGTGCCAGGCACTAGGACTATGAAAGGAATGTGACAAGGTCCTTGTCCTCAAAGGGAGCACAGTTTATTGGGAGTGGCAGCAAATAATTTTCACAATATGGGCACTACTCTAACAAGACAGAAAGAAGTTACCGTGAGTACACCGAGGAGGACATAAGCAGCAGAGGCTCATGGAGAAGGCAAGCTTGAGTGTGGCACTGGAAGGTATGAAACAATTTGCTAAGAAGACATGGAGGTCTGGGTGTTCCTAGCTGAGGAAGAGTATGTGCAGTTATGGGGCATAGGGGTAGCTCAGTATGGGTGCAATGGGTTGGCAGATGGGCAGGCAGTGGAGATGTGGCAACAAAGAGAGAGACAGGGACTTGGTTTTGAGGGTCCTGCATACTGTGGAAGCTAGTTAGGACTCTATCTACAAGTTCTAGAGAACAAGTGAGGGAAATTGAGGAGCAATAAGCTTGGGATGGCAGAAGTGTGAAGGGGCAGTGGGAGGTCAACCTTGTGTGGAAAAAGAGTCCAGTCTTGCGATGAAGAAGGCTTGAACTAAGGCAGGTATAGTAGAAATCAGAAGGGAGAATAATGAATGGGGAAAAAAGTATAAAATGGAAAGGAGAATAAAAAGAACCTGATGAACAGTCAGACATGGGGATGAGAGATTTGGAAGTGTCCAGGAAGACTCCCATTTAGATTTTGGTTACTAAATACGGAATTTAGGAATAAATCATGATAAGGAATTTAGGAATCTATAAGGAAGTTAAGCACATTCATCCTCAAAAGCTGTAATAAAATAATGGAATTTGAGTAAGATTTTTTTAAAAAATAAAAATAAACAATGGAAAGAGATAGAAGAAATGGAAGGAGGTTAAGACAATAAAGAATAATAGGAGAATGAAACTAAAAAGTGGAGCATCAAGATATTACAAATAATAACTAGTAAGAGGGAAATAGAAGTAAGGAGGGAAATACAATTTGCCTTGTTCAACATCTGCTTTAGTTTTTAATTCTTGAAAGACTTCCGTGAAGGGTTACAGCATTATAGGCTTGATTTTGACAGACCACCAGCATGAAGGTAACTCTACGCTGCCACTAAGAGTGACTTACAAGACATACTGGGTATTACTGCATCTAAAGTACTACTCAAAGTAATTTTTAAAAGTACATCTGGCAGCTGGGACTATCCTACTCAAGCTTACCTGAAATTCTATACCGAATGCCATTTTATTTACCTTTATGCAGTTTCAGGTTCCCTTGTAGTTTAAATGGTGAGTTTTTTCAGCCTCTCAATAGCACAGGCCTCTCTGTCATCTAGCATTTATTGCTGCCCGGTAATAATTCCTGGTGTGCCATGAGCTGGTAATCAACCCAGGAAAGGTGTGGTTAATGTGCATTGCTTTACCAGCTCAGGCTGTCTAACAGTGGCTTTGCTGTTCAAAGTTGTTCAAATGAACAACTCAGAGAAAGCCTGAACAGCTCCAGAAATCTCATCAGACCCCTAGAACAAAACAGCTCCTGGATTTGAGATTTAAAGTGGCATCTGATGTGTTAAAACCAGTGAAAGAGGGACACCTGGGTGGCTCAGTGGGTTAAGCCTCTGCCTTCAGTTCAGGTCATGATCTCAAGGTCCTGAGATCAAGCCCCACATAGGGCTCTCTGATCAGCGGGGAACCTGCTTCCCCACCCCCTCTCTGCCTGCCGCTCTGCCTACTTGTTATCTCTTTTTCTGTCAAATACATAAAATCTTAAAAAAAAAAAAAACAGTGAAAGGGACAATGAAGGTCATTTGAAGACTTTGATTTCAAGGAGGTGAGGAAGAGTTGTTTTTTCCTTTGCCATTTTCAAAAGCTCGTAATGAACCTTACCACTCGGGTTCACATTCCTGGCTGTCTGGTTTACAGGGAACCCTGGGATTTGTGTTGGGGTCATACCACCGTGAGGATGAATGTGGGTGGCATCCAGGGTATCAGAATGGGTAAAGGGAAACTGAGAAAACAAGAAAGAAAGAGGAACGGCTTAATCCATGGTGAGATGAAACTGGAATCAAGTTTTATAGTTGACATCATCTTGCTTTGACGATGAAAAGTTGGTGGACTATTCCCACTGCGATGAATAATGTCAACTTCCCAAGTGAAACTTGTTAGTTCATCCTTTTCCAGTCTGCCTATCTAATGTATCAAGGGCTCAAGTACAGTTTTTTCAGGAAAAATCCTGAGTTCACACCCCTCACCCC